TCAGTGGCAAGGTCTGTGAAATATTTCCTTTTGTCTTTTCTGGCTGACTTTTTTACTTCTCTATCAATTTGACTATACTGCTGTCTATACCGATTAAATAATCTTTCAGACTTTGTAGTTTCCATCTGTATTTTCTTTTTCCTTCTGCTTTCAATTAGTATTAATGTTTCACCCGTAATCCATTCTTTGCTTTTCTTTCCTTTCTTTTTACCCAACACTTTTTCTGCTACGTCGCAATAAATGTTTTTGATATGTTCCCAAGTCTCTTCAACTTTTTCTTTTACCTCATTTTCTGATTGCTTAGTGTTGCCATGATTTTCTTCTTCCTTTAACAGCTCAAATCTGTTTTTCAACTCGATTGAAAATTCTTGTCTGCACTCTTTGGCTTTTAACTTAGCAATGTCATAGCTTATTCTTTTATGTCCCGTCTTCTTTGGTGATTTTCTTAATTTTAGTTTTAATATTGCAAGAATCAAGTAGTGATCTGATCCAACGTCGGCACCTCTCATCGCTCTTACGTCTCTTAGTGAGCTCCTGAACTTGTTATTAATTGCAATATGATCTATTTGATTCTTTGTTCTTCCGTCTGGTGAGGTCCATGTACATTTATGTATCTCTCTATGCTTGAATCTACTCCCACCTATGTTTAAACTATTTAGTTCGCACAGGGAAACAAACAGTTCTCCATTTTCGTTCCTCTCACCCGGTGATTCGTTTCCCATGGAGGTTTCATCATCACTAATCCGTTTTCCAACCTTAGCATTAAGGTCTCCCATAAGAATTATCATGTCATGTTTTGGAACTCGATTTAAAACACATTGTAGTTGATCATAAAATGTCTCCTTTTCCTCCTCATCAGCATCATTCGTTGGTGCATACACTTGAATAATTGATAGTTTAATATATTTTGAATAAAATCGTGCTCTTAAAATTCTTTCACTGATTGGTTCCCATTCCAAAAGACTCTTCGCTGTTTCTTTATTAATGATTAGCGCCACGCCTCTTTCGTGCTTTTCTTCAGCTCCTGAGTACAAAATGATTTGTTCACTTCCAGTTTTAATCTTGCCAAAACCTGTCCATCTAAGTTCTGATATTCCCAAGATATCCAATTGGTATCTATCCATTTCCATTGATACCTGTCTACTTTTCCCACATTGGTACATAGTTCTTACATTCCAAGCACCAATTCGTAACTTGTGTTTAGGTTTCATCAATGATCTTACTATGGTAGTTAAAAGATAGAACTCTAAGAATGAGACAAGGTTCAACGATGGTAATAAATTCGAATCCCAGTGTGGACAAGGATTCTGCACATGGTACGCACAGGCCTTAGTGCTAACGGAAAATATCTTCAGGGGTAAACCCAATACTTGAAACATGAAACATTCGAATGAACGAAAGAGCATCCATCCATCCATCTGTCCGTCCATCCATCAATCCATCCGTCCGTCCATCCATCCGCCAATACATAGATCCATCCGTTCGTCTGTCCATCAATCAATCCATATATCCATCCGTCCGTCTGCCCTTCCCTCCCTCTCTCTCTCCGACTGTTCGTCCGTTTATCCCATTAATCCATTCCTCCCTCAAACCCTCCGTGCGTCCGCCCATCCATCCCACCCTCCCTCCATCCATCTGTCCGTCCATCCACCCATCCATCCGGTAATCCATCCATATATCCATCCATCCGTCCCTCCCTCAATTCTTCCATCCGTCTGTCCATTCATCAATCAATCAATTCATCCTCCCATTCATCCCTCGGTCCGTCCATCAATCCATCCATCCGTCCCTCCATCCATCCATCCGTCCTCTCATCTATCCATTCCTCCCTCCCTCCCTCTATCCCTCCCTCAATCCACCCATCCGCGCATCCACCAGTTCATCCATCCATCCGTCAGTCCATCCATCCATCCGTCTGTCCCAACATCCGTCCATCCATCTGCCCGTCCATCCATCAATCCATCCATTCATATACATCGCACTGGTCACAGTGCTAACGTAAAATATCTCAGGCGGGAAACCCAATACTTGAAACATGAAACATTCGAACGAGCGAACATCCATCCATCCGTCCATCCATCCTTCCATCCATCAATCCATTCGTCCATTCCTCCGTCTATCCATCCTTCCAATTATCCATCCATCCATATCCATCCATCCATCCATCTATCCATCCGTCCATCCATCCTTCCATCCCTCCCTCTATCCATTCATCCATCCGTTCGTCCATCCATCCGTCCATCCAGTCATTCATCTGTCTATCCATTCATCCATCCAGCCGCCAGTTCGTCCATTCATCCATCCATCCGTTCGTCAGTCCATCCATCTATCCAGTCATCCATCCGTCCATCTATCAATCCATAAAAAACAAACTTTAACATACATTGATTGCAAGTAAAATAAATAAAATGTGTATTACCTGAAGAGAAATTTTGCGTAAATCTGAGAATACTCATCTTATTCCTTTCTTACATAGTGGTTCTCTGATGGTGTATCCTTTTTTATGTCGTATTTCCTCTCGCTAGCTCTTGAGATTCAAAACCTGAAAGAATTTCAGTCGTCACTAAAGAATTTTTCCATTCCAAGCTCTGATCGAGAGAAAAAAGTAATACTTTGCATAACAAATCAAAGTTAAATGATTGCAAGTAATATAAATAAAATTTATATTACCTGAAAAGAAATTTTGTGAAAATATAAGAATACTCGTCTTATTCCTTCCTTACATTGTGGTTCTCTGATGGTGCATCCTCTTTTATTTCTTATTCCCTCTCACTAGCTCTGGAGATTCAAAATCTGAAAGACAATCAGTCTTCATTGAAGAATTTTTCCATACCAAGTCCTGACCGAGAGAAAAAGAAATGCTTTGCATTACACATCAAAGTTAAAAGATTTAAGATAGATTGAATGCAAGTAATATAAATAAAATATATTTCACCTGAAAAGAAATTTTGCGTAAAATTGAGAATACTCTTCTTACTCCTTCGTTACATTTAGGTGTATCCTCTTTTATTATGTATCTCCTCTCACTAGCTCTGGAGATTCTAAACCTGAAAACAATTAGTCTTCATTGAAGAATTTTTCCATTCCTAGCCCTGACAGAGAGCAAAAACATTCCTTGCATTACACAACAAAGTTAAGTGATTTAACATACATGGATTGCAAGTAATATAAATAAAATTTATATTAAATAATAAAAATGAAATATATAAATTTCGTTTATATAAAATTTATATAAATAAAATTTATATTACCTGAAAAGAAATTTTGCCTAAATCTGAGAATACTCTTCCTATTTCTTCCTTTCATGGTGGTTCTCTGATGGTGCATGTTCTTTTATTTCGTATTTTTTCTCACTAGCTCTGGAGATTCAAAACCTGAAAGACAATCAGTTTTCATTGAAGAAGTTTTCTATTCAAAGTCCTTTTCGAGAGAAAAAAAATGCTTCACATTACACATCAAAGTTAAATGATTTAACATACATTGATTGCAAGTAATATAAATAAAATTCATGTTACCTGAAAAGAAATTTTGCGTAAATCTGAGAATACTCTTCTTATTCCTTCCTTAGATGGTGACACTCTGATGGTACATCCTCCTTTTATTTCGTATTTCCTTTCGCTAGCTCTGCAGATTCAAAACCTGAAAGACAATCAGTCTTCATACAAGAATTTTTCCATTCCAAATCCTTACCGAGAGAAAAAAAATGCTTTGCATTACACATCAAAGTTAAATGATTTAACATACATTGATTGCAAATAATATAAATAAAATTTATGTTACCTTAAAAGGAATTTTGCGTAAATCTGAGAATACTCTTCTTATTCCTTTTCATGATGGTTCTCCGATGTTGAATATCCTTTTATTTCGTATATCCACTCATTAGCTCTGCAGATTCAAAACCTGAAAGACAATCAGTCGTCATTGAAGAATTTTTCCTTTCCAAGCCTTTCCAAGCAAGTGAGAAAAAATGTTCTTTGCATTGCACAACAAAGTTAAAGGATTTAACTTACAATAATTGCAAGTAATATAAATGAAATTTATGTTACCTGAAAAGAAATTTTGCGTAAATCTGAGAATACTTTTCTTATTCCTTCCTTAGATGGTGGTACTCTAATGGTGCATCCTCTTTTATTACGTATTTCCTTTCGCTAGCTCTGCAGATTCAAAACCTGAAAGACAATCAGTCTTCATACAAGAATTTTTCCATTCCAAGCCCTGACAGTGAGAAAAAAAGTTCTTTGAATTACACAACAAATTTAAATGATTTAACATACTATGATTGCAAGTAATATAAATAAAATGTATATTACCTGAAAAGAAATTTTGCGCAAAACTGAGAATACTCTTCTTATCTCTTCCTTTCATGGTGGTTCTCCGATGGTGCATCCTGTTTTATTTCGTATTTCCTCTTATTAGCTCAGGAGATTCAAAACCTAAAAGACAATCTGTCTTCCTTAAAGAATTTTTCATTCCATGCCCTGACCAAGAGAAAATGAATTGCTTTGCATTACACATCTAAGTTACAAGATTTAACATAGATTGAATGCAAGTATTAGACATAAAATTTATTTTACCTGAAAATAAATTTTGCGTAAATCTGAGAATACTCTTCTTAGCCCTTCTTTACATGGAGGTGCATCCTATTTTATTTCGTATTTCCTTTCTCTAGTTCTGGAGGTTTAAAACCTGAAAAACAATCTGTCTTCATTGAAGAATTTTTCCTTTCCAAGCCCTGACAGAGAGAAGAAAATGCTTTGCATTACTCATGAAAGTTAAAAGAATCAACATAGATTGAATGCAAGTAATATAAATTTTTTTTATTTTACCTGAAAATAAATTTTGCGTAAATCTGAGAATACTCTACTTATTCCTTCCTTAGATGGTGGTTCTCTGATAGCGCATCCTCTTTTATTTTTTATTTCCTCTCACTAGCTCTGGAGATTCAACTGCAATTCTGCTGCAATCTGAGAAAATTTTTCATTCTTTTACCTTCCATAATTGTTCATTTTCTTATCTTACTGCTTCTTTTATTTCATTTTTCTCTTATTTTCTTCTTAAATTTGAAACATAAATTCTATCTGTTTTAGAATTATTTATCCTTTTCAAACCCTGCTGGAGAGAGAAAAAAACCTACTTGTATTAAACATCATCAAAGTTAATTGATATAATTTTGATTGAATGCTCGCTATACAACTTAGATTTATATTTATATATAATATGCATAAAATTATGAAAGGCATTTGTCCACTCTGAGATGCATGAGTATTCTCAATTTTTCATCTGCTTTTGCATCTTCATTTCTTGCAGGTAGCTCCTTTAATTTCAACAGTTTGTCCATAACACTTTTTAGTCATCTTCAAAACACAACCTTCAGTCAAGAATTACAAACACAAAATGAATTCCTTGAATATTTTTACTTATTGTTAAAATTCTTTTGAAATAATGAGTTGCTTATAGCTAATAACTGTTTCTCTTGACTGTAATTGTTAAACTTTATCTATTAGCTTTATTGAAACAATGACGTACACATTAGAATGAATATTAAAATTTATCTCAATAGTTCATTGTTAGAGAGTGAGTTAATTTAACTTTTAATAAAACGGCAAACATAATGAGGCTTGGTTTTTATAGGTTTGCTATTTACCTTTACGCAATTAGGAGTTTATCAGAGTATTGTTCTAAATACATATTTTTAGAACTTAACTTATTGAAATCTGGGAAACATAATGAAACATAATCTCCATAGATTTGCTATTTACCTCTACACAATTAGTACTTTTTATGAGTATTCTACTAAATATTTTTTTTTAGAATCTAAGTTAACGTATTCATAAATTGTACTAGATAAATTCAACTAGTCTGTTTCCTCCAGTAATCAAACATGTTTGGAATGCACATATGGTTCATGGGATGCCGAGGCCATTTTATGGAACATCTTGAGCACTTTTTCTTGGCCAACTAAGAAGTTTAAATTTAAGATTTTGTTCCAATTTGTTCATAACATGGGAGAATTAGTTGTACATCACTACCACTTTTATATTTGAGGAACACATTTTTTAAATGAATATTTATCAGTCTTGTGTATCAAACAAACCGCAATAATAGCACAAAGTAACCGTAACAGATGATGAAGACCATTAAACCGCCAAATTGAGACAGAAAATTTCATACCATTTAATTTTAATATTAGGTTCTTCAAGTTTAACAGCAAAAAGTTCAATCCATTAATAAAATGCTCGCTCATTTGAACAAAAAAGAAAATTCTCAAATTTCTTGCATGGCTACAAATACCTAAAGAATTATTGCGTTTTCTTCCTATTTTGAAGATTGAAAAGGAAGTGAAATGAGACAGTATAATGAAAAATGTGATGGTGTTATATTTTTGATCATTGCTTGAACAACACAGAATGTCCAAATCAAAATGGTTCGGAAGTCCAAGTCGAATGTAAATATCAGCCAGTTTTGATTAAGTCGATTACAAATTAAGTAAATTAAAGTAATATAAGCATTAATGGAAAGTACCAACGCAAAATGAAGGGGTAAAAGAGTGCATGTGTGCTGTATAACAACGATTCTTGTTGTAAGTACAAAACTGGTGTTTAGGTAAAAAAAAATTGCTCAGGAATAACGGGTCAAATGTGCAAAGAAAAGAATTTAAAATTTAAAAACAGTAAACTTAAAGGAGAGAATTATTCAACCTATTTTTGAAAATAGTCAAATAGAAATTGAAAAATAATTTATGTTAGGGATCATAAAACCAGTAGAAAGTGCAACTGCTGGTCCTAATGCAGACTGGTACTAATGAAGATAATACTTTGAAAAACAATAGTGAAGTCTAAATTGTCGATAATTTCATCAAATTTCTAAATAATGTGTTAGAGCTAAATAGCTACTGCAACTGCTGTCACTAATACAGTCTGGTACTAATGAAGGTACTAATGATGGTACTTTGAAAAACATTAGTGAAGTCTAAATTGTCGATAATTTCATCAAATTTCTAAATAATGTGATAGTACTTATAGTTACTGCAACTGCTGGCACTAATGAAGACTGGTTCTAATGAAGAATCCTTTGAGAAACAATAGTGAAGTCTAAATTATCGACAATTTTATCAATTTTCTAGCTAATATGCTTGTGTCAAAATATTAATCCCGGTTATTGACCCATCACAATTTTCGACTTTGCAATCAGATAATCGCATATTAAACTGAAAATGATGTATTTGAAAGGGTGAGTCTTAAATATGCTGATTTATTAATTCAGAAAATATAATTATAATTATCTAAATGAAAGTAATATAAAATGCCAGAACAGGGAATAAGGCATATTTTTCGCCAAATATTAATAGAATCAACAAATCAAGG